CCATGCTTTCGAATTTTATTTGCCATTTTTCAATCCAAATTTTTGTTATCCAAATTTTTATTTAAGATTAATTAATTGAAATATGCTATTTGATCAGTCGGACCACGAAAGCTATTGGGTAAAATAAAAATATATTGACTAAAACTATTATTCTGGAAGAAAATAAGTTTTCTTTGTTTTTCTCAAGACTGGAAAATTGGATTCTTAACCTTGTTACACTCACCGATTCAATTAGCGGTAATGGTACTGTGTATATTTTTTCATTAGTTGCCAAACTGTATATGAATAATAAATTATTGAATAATAAAAAATTGATTTGAAGGCTTTGCTTTATAAGAGGAGTTTGTTATAGTTCCGGAACAAAATTTGACGATAAATTTGATTATATCAACTTCTTTTAAAATTGCTTTGTAGTAATTGTTATTTTTTGGAACGTCATATCGGACCTCATCTCACGATCTCCAAATAATAATTTTTTTGGAATATACATTTTGGAATCGTAAGACCAGTTGCAAGTAGTTTTCTAAACGGGGCATTTGTATTATTCACAGAAGGGATTCTCGACCTTCAATTTGCGGTCGGACCGCTTTCCACTTTTGAAAACGATAAACTTTACGATATTCCGGTAATGTCAGATGGTAGGTATACGGGGGAGAAGAGTCCCCAGAGGTAGGGCTTATGTAATGAGGATGGTCCTTGGCATTTTAGCCCACCTTGCACAATGTTACAGATCCCGGTTGTCGTCTCGTTCAGTTACATTTAGGGCCGCGCCTTTTTCACTCCTGTTCTCAACCGGATGAAAGACCGACGCGAATGACAGCGATCCATAAATTGCCTTTCAATTACAAAATCACACGACAAAGTTTAAAAGTATTCTTTAACCTTTACCTTTACAAATCAATTTTTTAATTTCAATTACAGCAAATGAAATATTTTATAAAATTATATGAGATTTTATAATACTTATACAGGGGTTTGATGTTAATACACAGGCAGATAAACAACTATTAAAAGTAAACGTACAATTCATATTCAACGTGTAAGAAGTTACATTTTCAATACATATTACATATTTTTTACATTCACCCAAACATAAGAAGTACCAAATAAATTATATTATAAATGTAATTGATCACCCCTGAACACATTAGTGACTGTTTTCTTGTTTGGCAGAAATAATATCTAAGAACATAACATTGCAGCCATTACATGATATTAATATGTGATATTAATAAATTGATTCTTCACTTCCGCATAGACGCCCTGTCTATAGGAAAATATGAGATCCTCCGGTCCATACGTGTCGCATACTGTGCCCAGTTGTCCGCCATATTTTACATATTTTATTGGATAGCAAAATATTTTTTTATGGTTTCTATTTGTCAGAGTTGCATAAGGACTTTCGGTGGTTGAATTGGGATTTTTTTAAATACCCCATGAACATTATTTTAAAAGGAACATTATTATTATTTCAATTAATTATTCATTTTTATGTAAGGTCTTCCTTCGAGTAAAATCCATTTACGTTTCAGTGGTCTAAATGAACAAATCACTGATTTCAATTAATTATTCTTTTTTTATGTAAGGTCTTCCTTTCAATTTAATATATTTATGTTTTAATTGTCTAAATGACCAAATTACTTATTTAAATTCATTATTATTTTTTTATGTAAGTTCTTCCTTCCATTACAATCCATTTAGGTTTTAGTGGTCTAAATAACCAAATTACTGATTTCAATTAATTATTCTTTTTTTATGTAAGGTCTTCCTTCCAGGAAAATCCATTTCTGTTTTAGTGGTTTAAATGACCAAATTACTTATTTCAATTAATTATTCTTTTTTTACGAATGGTCTTCTTTCCAGTAAAATTCATTTATGTTTATGGTATCCGAGTGGATCGAGGTCATGATAGCTCAAATGGTAGAACAGCGGCGTATCTAGCCGAAGATCGTGGGTTCGAATCCCGCTCGTGCCATTGACTTTTTTTTCAACTAAAAACTTTAATTAATTGTTACTTATTTCGGTTAATTATTCTTTTTTTTATGTAAAGTCTTCCTTCCAGGAAAATCTATTTATGTTTTAGTGGACTTAATGACAAAATTAGTTATTCCAATTAATTATTCTTTTTTATATAAGGTCTTCCTTCCAATAAAATTCATTGATTTTTTAGTGGTCTAAATGACAAAATTACTTATTATTCTTGTTCGTTTTATGTAAGGTCTTGGTTGGGATGAAAAAGTTAGTGTCATGATCGGGATTCGAACCTACGACCTTAGGTGAATAGGCCGCTACATGATTTATCGTAATGGCTATCCACTCGGACACCATAGCCCCATTGAATAACTTTGAACTTTGAATAATTAATTGAAATAAGTAATTTGGTCAATTAGATCAATAAAGCATAAATGGATTAATATTTAATAAGTAAAGAAGTATCATTTCACCAACAGTGCCGACTTCATAATTCGGTGAGAATCGAACCCTGATTACACGACATTTGAAAAATAGCAAAAAGGAAGGAAAACTCATGAGGTGGGGTTGAGATGGGAAGTTAGTGTCCGAATGGATCTAGGTCACGATAGCTCAAGTGGTCGACCAGCGGCGTATCTAGCCGAAGGTCGTAGGTTCGAATCCCGCTCGTGACACTGACTTTTTTTCATGAGACGACATGAGAAGACCATACATAAAAAAAAATTAATTGAAATAAGTAACCATTAAAACATGAATGGATTATTATTATTTGAGAGATTTTGCATAACATTAGCGTGAACGTAACGTTAAACTGAATGAAGTGCGCTTGCGCAGATTTAAAGAAACCGTACATAATATAGCGTTCTTGTCAAAAATTGTGAGAAAAAAAATGTATTGGTAGAAATATAATTAAATTGAAGTTGTTATCTCTGTATTTTTGGAATGTAAGAAAGAGAAATTTAATTATTTAATTTTTTTTTCGTGAACGTAAAATGCCTCTTAAAAATTTGGTACGTTTTTCATCGGTGGTTTGTCGTCACCATAATTCTTGCTCTTCTGAGCATACCGTTATAATTCATTTATTGAGATTCTTGAACGGGCCCACGTCTGCAGCTTGTGAGATGAGTAAAAGTGAAAAAGATGTAAACCCGTGTAACCGGTCAACGAATCAGGCGTCCTTGGCGTTCGGCAATGTCCTATCCACAGCCGACGTCTTATCTCGATAACGTCTCACCCACGAAAAACGCCTTGCCTGCTTCGGGCATAACCGCCTAAGCAGTCTATTTATTATCAATTGAGCAATTTTTCTACTTTTGGTTTTCATATATCATAAAGAATTGCACTTATAGTATTTTTGAAATTCAAATTTTTTTTCAAGTTCATCCTAATTTATCTCATAATTTAACTATTATAGATCTAGGCTAACAATTTTTTATTTTTTATACTTAGCCAATATCTGCAGAGATGAAAAGAAAACCTTTTATGATTAAGAATTGCCACTTAAAAGAAGAAATCCTGACCAATTGTAGCGAAATGGATTATTGAATTAGAAAACATTTTAAATTTAAACTTCAATATTTTATTTTCGATTTTAAGAATACACTGGGTAATTTTTTTTCTGAAATTCTGTTGTGTGATGAACCTGTAATCGTATGTACCTCTCGTGCCATTAACTTTTTTTCATCTCAACTAAAACCTTAATTAATTGTCATGTATTAATTGGTCAAGCGGACCACGAAAGTAGTGAATTAATGGTTTAAAATGAAGTACACTTCACTAAAGCTCTCCGTCGCCATTTCAATTGTCGTCGAGAATCCAATCCGATTACACGACATTTGGAAGATGGCAAAATGAGGGAAAACTCATAAGGTGGGGTTGAGATGGGGAGTTGATGTCCGAGTGGATCGAGGTCACGATAGCTCAGGTGGTAGAGCAGCGGCGTATCTAGCCGAAGGTCGTGGGTTCGAATCCCTCTCGTGCCATTAACTTTTTTTCATCTCAACTAAAAACCTTAATTAATAGTCATTTAAAAATAAAAGTTGAGGAAAGTTAGGTAACAAGTTTTGTAATGTAGGAAAAGCACAACGGAACACGAAGCAAAAACAGAACCACATAGGAAGGAAGTAACAGAAAATTTAAAATGAATCGAGTTTTACCAAATAATTTTATCTAATCAGCAACTATTCAGACTTACGAAGCTCAGACGGTTACATACATGGAATACATCAGAAACGTTTTGGGCTAAAATGAGCAAAATTGTATTAACGAATTTAAGATAGAAATCTTTATAGCCGAGGTCTCTGTATGTGGAAACCACAGCAACAGATGGTCTGAGATATGCCCTATCTTCAATTACCCCGAGGAATATCGAATACTCTGGAGAAGTGTGTATGTAATTTATTAGCGTGAATAGGAAGGCGTATCCCCAATTAACCCGAGGAATGTTAAGTACTCTTGGGTAGTGTGGATGCTAATCAGACTATCCTTTTTTTGCGTTTCTGTGTATTTGTTTATGATGTGTAATTTTATCCAAAATTGACGAGGCCATGCTATGCAGAGAGTCTAGCAATAGATAAAGAAAAATAATTGGTTACCCTTATATCAACATCATAACTTTTCTGAAGTTTCAGTGAAATAAATTAACGTTTAAAACGTGAGAGAAATAAGAAAATAAATGGAAAGCTAAAGAAGAGAGGGCTGGCGATGGCCAGTGAAGTTTGCCGGCTCTAAAACAGTAAAAAAGGAAAAAAAGTCAAACGGCGATATAATACTTCTATTTATTTCGTCGAATACAAGAGTTTAACAGGTAAATGAAATCATTCGTAGGAGCAAAAAGATTGTAAAACCGTTAACACCAGGACTTGTTTTTTAACATATATACATCATTTATCATCATTTTATTCATACCTCTATATGTAAAATATGTATTTTGTCATGATTTTTCTTAATTTCTACATATATAATAAAACTGAATCATATTGATTGAAATAGAAATATTATTGGTTGGTGATGTTTTCCGAATTCGTAAAAATTAAACGACTTTCAAATGAGAACGTATGGCATGGATAGAGGCTGAGGTGAAAAAAGGAAACCGGTCTCGTCACTTTAACCTTTTGTTCGGCCCAAATGTAGAACCCTTCTCACATACATTATGAAAAAAAAAGAGATAAACCCGACCCACACCTAACTCTTGGACAATACCGAACTCCGCCTGCTGCAAATCTTCTCAATAGGGCGGAAAAAATAGGAGTGAAAAATGAACTTAAAATGTGGCGGCTATATTTCACAGGGGGTGACCTAAGTCTCCATCAATTTCGTCCCTCCCTCTCCGCCCTTTCCAGTCAATTTCTGATAAATAGCGTCGATAAAGTGAGATTGAGAAGTCGCTGATATAAGTCGATTGTTTCAGATCGTGGACGGAAATGCGAAGACGGAGCTGTCCAACAGGAAGGACCCAGGCCTTTTCTGCGGCGAGACAGAGCAGCCCCAGGTGTTCATTTCGGAGACGAGCTTCGTCAAGCTCGTCTTCCACGCCGACAACTTCACCGATCAGACTTACTTCAGCTTCGATTCGAGAGCGGAGCAACAGTTCGACGTTTACCTCAGATATGGACAGCACCCTGAGTTGTATCCTAACCGGAGAGGCCAAGTCATGGCTGGGTAAATATGCACATTCATCAAATATTTTCGTCCCAGAACGAACGTCTCTTCCATCATAAACATATTTATTTTATTTTAACAAAAGTATACAAAACATATATTTTAGAAATATTTTCCACATATAGGCTAAGCTTGTGGTTTTCGATAGGAGTCTAATCAAATTACACAATATACAATTACCAGGTAACAAGAATAGTTCCTACGGTTTTACATTTGTTATTGTTTTAATACAGTTAAACAATATTTTTGTTTACATAAAAGGATTATATGTTAGCATCAAGTAATACAAGAGGATAATGCGTTAGCTCATAAAGAAAAACTGTGTTGAATAGCTCAATGTAAATTATCAAATATTTTCTTAAACATGGCTTCAAAACACATAATTTTTTCGTACTTATTGTAGGAATTTACGGTACAATGGCAAGCAGCAAGTGAAATTTGCACTGCGTTCGGTAATGAAACCATTGAGCGCATTGCCCAGAAGTGGTTCAATACATTTGCAAGGTGATTGAAGATGGACCAGGTTGACCTTCTGTCTTGAATGACCCGAATTGAGGGAAGATATCGAACTCGATTCGGGTAAACACTTCCGGAGGTTGCCACAATGTTTACCATAAACCAGGAAACCATTTGCTCTAGCTTTCATCGACTTAGAAAGACGTGTAAACTGAGCAAATGGGTTCCTCATAAATTGACAAGCTTCTGACTCTAAAGATTTGCCTTTTATTGCTGTCACGGCGCAAAGTACACTTTTCTGACTGGATTGTCACATTTCACGATGTGAATGTTGTACAGCAACAACAGGAGCAGTACGATTGCCACAAAATGAATCTGAACTATTGACGCAAAAACCAAATATACACCAACAAAAATTTATGGGTTTGGTGGACGCTATGAACTTTTACCATATGGTCAGACCATTGCAGAAATCCATTCAGTCCAACGGCAACGAGTATCTCTTCCCCTGGCCAAGAAACAACCTGCTCTCGGGTACGGAAAAGGTGTTTTTTTTTCTCCAGAACAACGCGATAACTTACACTGCCAGAACGGCAAAAGAGCTTACAATAAAGATTGGTTTGGAAGTCCCATCACACCCTCCGTACTCTCCAAACCTGACCCAACCTGACTTTCGCCTATTCTTGGCACATCGGGACAATCGGGAGATCGATAAACGCCAACAGCAGGAAAATATGCTAAATTTATTTTTTAAGTCTTGATATCCAAACTTTATAAGAAGGGCATAATTGGGCTAGTAACAAACGGTAGTTGGGAGAAGGTGATAGAGACCTCCCTGAACAAAATCTTTATAAAACCTTTAAACCCTCACCAACTTTTCTAGTTACGTGTGGTGATTAGTGACCGTTAGTCGATGATTATTCGGAAATCTTGAGATGCGGTCTGGTGTGATGTAGGTTTCAGAAAAACATTTTCTTTATCGTGCCAACGTTTCGATCTTTATTTAGATCATCTTCAGTGCCGGGGATTTACAAACATGGTTTAAGTTTAACAAATATATGAGGATGTGGAAAAAAGTGAATTTATACAATTCAAAAAAATATTCTTTATATTTTTATTTAGATTTAATTAAATTTAGGCCATATTATACGATTATAGCTGAATTTCTACTATTTTTGTAAAGTTGGATCTAATTTTGTTTATTTTTTGTCATATTTATCAGTGATTAGAAATACTTTGATTGAATATAAAAAATATATTTTTGCATTGTACAAATTCACTTTTTCCCACATCCTCATTTATTTGTTAAACTTAAACAATGTTTGTAAATTCCAGGCTCTGAAGATGATTTCAATAAAGATCGACACGTAAGAATGGCACAATTACACAGAAGACAAACACTTTGAGCCCTGAAGATGATTTCAATAAAGATCGACACGTAAGAATGGCACAATTACACAGAAGACAAACACTTTGAGCCCTGAAGATGATCTCAATAAAGATCGAAACGTTGGCACGATAAAGAAAATGTTTTTCTNCATTGAACACAAAAATCCCAAACCCTGAAGAAGATCTCAATAAAGATCGAAACGTTGGCACGATAAAGAAAATGTTTTTCTGAAACCTACATCACACCAGACCGCATCTCACGATTTCCGAATAATTTTCTAGTTACCTGGTGTTTACGTCAATCACTGATTACGTTAAGAAATGCATTTTTTTGCAATTACTACCGAACATTCACCATCACACAAGTAACCGCCATCATAAGTCACACAGCTAAATTTAAATTAAATTGAAAGTACGAGACGGGTGCCTTCATAAAGGGAATTTAAAGCTCTTTTTAATACTTTTTGGTTTGGCCGAAAAATGAACAGTTCAAAGGTTTCAAGTGGATTTATGTCGAATCCCTTAGACATTTGGAACAAGTTGATTATCTACGGAAGGGTCGAGAATCTGACCATGATTTCCAATTTTAAAATACGTACACAACAATGGTTTAAAATCATATTTAAATTAATTTTTTTATGTGATCTTTTAACAGCCTCGACAAATGTAAATTTGTCTATAAAAGTAACAATTAAATATAACAAAAAGCAGTAAAAACATAGGAATAAATATTGTTAACAGTTTGTTTTTTTAATTTTAAAAACTAATCTTGGAAAAGAAAATCGTTTACAAAAATTGATTTATTTCCACATAGATAGTCAAATAATGCTTATTAAATTCAAAGGCACATCTCATATTAAAACAAGAAATAAACAAAATAAGCAAATTGATAAAATAAAAACAACTAACATAATGCAAAAACAAAATGAGATCCAATTTTACAAAAGTAGTAGAAATCCAGCCATAATCGTATAACATGTCCTAATTTTAATTAAATGTAAATATCGAAATATCGAAAAAAAATATAATTAGTAATTTATATATATAAACATAGTATAATTAAATACATATGTATACAATTTAGGTACATATTTATTGATGTAATATGAGAAAGAAGATCAAATGAATAAAAATATACAGATAATTAAATCTAACAAAAAGTAGTAAAAATATAAAAATAAATAGTGTTAAATGTTTTTTTAATTTTTAAGAACTAATCTTAGAAAAGAAAATCGTTTACAAAAATTTATTTATTTCCACATAGAGAGTCAAAGAATGCCTATTACATTCAAAACCACACCTCACATTAAAACAAAAAATAAACAATATTAGAATATTGATTAAAAAATCATACTAAAATAATGCAATAACAAAGCTAGATTCAATATTACAAAACTAGTACAAATTCAGTCATAATATTGTGTCTGTCACAATTGTGATTAATTCTAAATTAAATCTAAATATTGAAACATATATTATATATATATAGCAGCGGCGTATCTAGCCGAAGATTGTGGGTTCAAATCCGGCTCGTCCCATTGACTTTTTTCATCTCAACTAAAAACCTTAATTAATTGTAATGTAAAAAATAAACAAAATTACAAAATTGATAAATATAAAACATACTAAAATAATGCGGAAACATAACTAGATCGGTCTGTATAACTCCTAAAATACATACAAAGAAAGTCGTTTACAAAAATGTATATATTTTCACCTAGATAGTCAAATAAGCCTATTAAATTTAACACACATCTCATATAAAAGTAAAAAATAAACAAAATTACAAAATTGATAAATATAAAACATACCAAAATAATGCAAACATGCAAAAACGAAACTAGATCGCTCTGTATAACTCTTAAAATACATACACAACAATAATATAAAATCAATTTTAAATTTTTAAAATCTAATGTTCGAAAAGAAAGTCGTTTACAAAAATGTATATATTTTCACCTAGATAGTCAAATAAGCCTATTAAATTTAACACACATCTCATATAAAAGTAAAAAATAAACAAAATTACAAAATTGATAAATATAAAACATACCAAAATAATGCAAACATGCAAAAACGAAACTAGATCGCTCTGTATAACTCTTAAAATACATACACAACAATAATATAAAATCAATTTTAAATTTTTAAAATCTAATGTTCGAAAAGAAAGTCGTTTACAAAAATGTATATATTTTCACCTAGATAGTCAAATAAGCCTATTAAATTTAACACACATCTCATATAAAAGTAAAAAATAAACAAAATTACAAAATTGATAAATATAAAACATATTAAAATAATGCAAAAATGGAAAAAAAACTAGATCGCTCTGTAAAACTCGTAAAATACATACACAAAAATGGTATAAAATCAATTTTAAATTTTTAAAAACTAATGTTCGAAAAGAAAATGGTTTACAAAAACGTATTTATTTTCACCTAGACAGTCCAATAAGCCTATTAAATTTAACACAAATCTCATATAAAAGTAAAAAATAAACAAAATTACTAAATTTATAAATAACTCGCTCTGTATAACTCTTAAAATACATACACAACAATGGTATAAAATCAATTTTAAATTTTTAAAAACTAATGTTCGAAAAGAAAGTCGTTTACAAAAATGTATATATTTTCACCTAGATAGTCAAATAAGCCTATTAAATTTAACGCACATCTCATATATAAAAAATAAACAAAATTACAGAAATGATAAATATAAAACATACCAAAATAATGCAAAAATGCAAAAACGAAACTAGATCGCTTTGTATAACTCTTAAAATACATACACAACAATGGTATAAAATAATATTTATTTTTTTTCCGGTTCTTAAGGCGAATTGGGAAGAGGCTCAGTTTTGTAACTTGTTTAATTGTTTTCGACTTATTGCATGAAATTTGTTTAAAATTAAAATTGGTGAAGTCCGCAGGCTCGTGTTTTTAGTAGAAAAATATTCACAGTGGGATACAAAAGGATTTTTTTAAAATACCTTACCGATATTTAAGATTAAAACGATAATTACCGGATAACTTTTCAATATCACACAAAATTCGGATTTTTCCCATAGAGACGTCGGAAATTGATAAACGACAACGTCGAAGCACTTAGCGATCTACAAGTTTTAACAGGCGGCGCTTAATAAACACCTT